CCCGAACGCTTAAACTTTAGGACTTTTGTTTTTTTTTTGAGGGCCTTTAAAAAACCAAAGTCCTAAAGTTTAAGCGTTCGGGATTACGCAGGCCCAGACTCCTTCGGTGGAGCCACACTTCAAGACGGAGTATTGGAAAGCTGGACCCGAGGAGGTCGCCTTAGGGTCCCGAGCTTTCTTCCTAGGGTTTTTTTTGGGTTTCTTGGGGCTTAGGGTTTAGGGTTTAGGGTTTAGGGTTTAGGGTTTAGGGTTCTTGGGGCTTAGGGTTTTAGCGAGTTTGGAAGACGCCAGGAAAACGACATTTTTGTAAGATGCCTTGTCGCGAAAGGTGTCTTTCAGAGGCGCAGGGCGGTTTCATTTGTGAGCCATTTCTTAGTTTTGATGGTTCTGAGCACATGCCGGAGGCCAATGGACTCCAGCTTCAGCACAGAATACAGATACCCCGTTGTAGATTTGAGACCTACTCACCCTAAACCCTAAACCCTAAACCCTAAACCCTCAACCCTAAACCCTAAACCCTAAACCCATCTGAAACAAGAATTGCCCAGCTTCTCTCTGCCCGATGTCCTAGGTCAGCGCCGTAGCTTGTGGCTGGCTTTTGCTTTCGGGCTTGAGGTTTGCCCCTGATGAGAGCTTCTTCTTAGACAACCCCAAACCGGGCCTCTAGAGTTCATCTGTTCATGAGATCAGTTCGTGCCCGGCAGGTGATGCTGTAAATTACGTTTGTCCCTAAACCCCAAACCCTTAACCCTATAAGTTTAAAGGCCCTAAACCCAAGACCCTAAAAGAGACTTCCCGACCCAACCCGAGCCCAAACCCAAAGCCCAGCCCTCACTCTCCCATGGCCACACTCCAGGTGAGTCCCAAACCCAAGCCGTATAGACCCTAGACCATAAACCCTGAACCGCTCAAACCCCTCCAGTCTAAAGCCCCTAATGTCGGAACCCGATTAAGAAACCTTGGCCCTATAACACCAAGTTATTTGGATCTATATAATCCCAAAAACCCTAAACCCTAAACCGTGTTATAAGGAACCCTAATAAGTCCCAAGGTTTCTTGAGGTGCCTACCCTAAACCCTAAACCCTAAACCCTAAACCCTAAACCCTAAAACCCTAAACCCAAAACCCTAAACCGCCGGCCAGGTAAGTCGGTGGATGGGGCTTTGGGAGTCTTCCCCTGGCGAGGATTGCCTAGCTGTGCCTGGGCTTCCGATGGGGGGATTAGGGTTTTGGAAGGGTTCTACAAGGTTCTACAGAGGATCTATATACATTATGAGTTAGAAGGGTGCCATAAGGGTTCCATATTATGCTAAGGGTTTTGGGTTCTTAAAAAGGCTTTGGGTTTGGGGTCCAGCGCTTTGGTGTTGAGGGGTTGCCGGCTTTCCGTACTTCAGGATCCCTTTCCTTGGGGTGATAAATATTGATTTGGGGACTTGATAGGGATATTAAGCTAAGTGATAGTGAGTTGGGGACTTGATAGTCATCTTTAGGCAAGTGATAGTGAGCTGGAAGGGACACTGGTTCTAGTTATTCAGGCTTTCTCTCGCTGTGATGTCTTGCTTGTCTCTTTATATCCTTGTTCATTCCAGTAGCCGCAGTATGGGTACCGTTGCATGTGTTAGCAGTATGGCACAGGGTTGAGTTCTGTTGCATTTATGTTCAGTATCAACGGGAAGAGTCATGTCAAGGATCCCTAAACCCTAAACCCTAAACCCTTCAAGGATCCGTAACAGCAGGGGTTGGTGCGAGTGGGCAGGTCCCATCGGTGCTTCGTCCTTCCCCATCCCGGAACCTTCAACCCCAAACACTAGACTCGAGACTCTTATTATATAGGGGCCTAAATAATTGCCT